ATATAGAGCCAGCCTTTGGAGTGAGGGTTGACAAAGACTTGGGCAGTGCACGCGGTAGTGTTGAAGTAGTTTCCAAATTAGTTCTTGCTGGGTCAACGCTGTCGAAAGCTTTTTCAAAGTCGATGAAATTGAGGTATTATAGGGTTTAAATACATGTGTATCACTTTGATAAATTCCCGGTCATATCGGTTAACGGTATTGCTCACTGTGAGCTGAGAATTCACGCTGTCCTTACGAGCAAAGAATTTATGGATTAGTGCCACGTCTTAGTCTTTCAACCTAATTCTATTTCGGGTGACATAGCACATCGACATGGATGCTGTTTAGACTTGCCTAACACGTATTTTGGACCATTCCAAGCTATGGTGATTGATAACTCTGTAGGCTGAGACCTACGTAACAATCTACGAAGATTTGATGGTATTAAATGGTTGGAGGCAATCAATGTGCACCGTGATGGCGAGTTAGCTAGAATGGTGCTCACATTACAACCTGACTGATAGAATTCAATCTGCACCAATCAGAGGACTAGACGCATCACACTAGTTACTAGTGTCAAATCAAAAATCTACGAAGATATTGGTAGTCGAATACCTAAAGCTTCTTCGGACCTCATTGTCATAGGCATAAATCACCGTCACATGGTGAGACGAGTCAGTCTTTAGCAAGATTCACTTGCAGCCGTATGGGGTGAAAGGCATACAGCGTATCTGCATATTTACGATTAACCGGATAGGTGAAATGGTCGACCTTACTCAACCAGTTCACATCCTAAACTCGAAAGTGGTAGTAACCATACCGACCAGTTGTGAAGTAGAAGTGCAAGGTGAGGAACGTACCCCAAGAACTCTGAGATATCTATGCATCTTGTTAGTGTCCTTGTTCAACAGGATTATCTTTACCTACTTTAGATAGAATGATTATTACTTTCCGAATGAAGCAACCACATCTGTGAAGCTGTTTTTGGAGACATTTATAAGCTTGTACATTATTACAACTAACTGCGTCGGTGGTATAGCGGTTAGGACGCTCGCCGGCCGTGCACATGGTTTGGGGTTCTATCCCCGGCCGATGCACTCCTTTACCTCGCTGAGCCAGAAATAATTCTGGTAAAGAGGAAAAGTTGGGAATGAGGCTAGCAACCCCATCCTGTGAAAATAAACACCACTGCTACAGAAACTTCAAGCCACTAGCGTGGAGGCCCATGTTCCGCTGGGGAACATGAAGGTAAAAAAGAACTGTTCTGTTGCTTATGCATTTTTTATTAATTTGTGAGAATTTCTGGCGATGTAGCTACATTGCGAGGCTGGCTACTATATTACACGCTATGAACAACATGACATTCCGTTTCGAGTACCAAATTTGTTAGGGTTTTGTATCCTATTTATGAATGATATATTGTAAGCGGTTACATAACCTAGAAGATAATGTTATTTAGTTGTCGGATGTGTTGGTTGGTTTGTTGAGTTTCCATTTGGTGTTTTAGATCGAATATATCTTGGAGATAGTTGTGTTCTTATCAACGTTTTTTTGCGGTGTGGGGTGGTGGTTGATGAGGGGGTCAACAAGTCGGCTTATTTGCTTGATTAGTAACAATCGTCAAATTTTTCCACATTCCCGGAAATCTACCAATACATCCGTCGTTAATGCATTGCAGGTTTTGAGATAGACTTTCGGAAGTTCTAATTAGTTGGATTGTGAGGTCCACAAGGAGGACAGGTGTGGAAATGATTTCTGGTCGATGTCATTGGATAGTTATGTTATGTTGATGACTGATTGGTTCCAAGAAAGAACTTTGCACACATGGTCACCAGTTCAAGTTGTCACTCCTCCTCCATGTGCCACACAGTGCCGGAGAAGAGAGTTAAGAGAGGTTCAAGGGGGAGATAGTAAACAGAAGTGTGAGTGAGGGAAAAAGAATAGTAATGTGGAAGAACAATAGAGTCTTATTGAATATTATAAATTACAAAGAGTGAATGCATCTGCGCCAGTCATTGACAAAGATCACTTTGATTCATATCATCAATAATTGTCTCCAGCCGTCATTGCTTCTTACTAACCTCGAGGACCCCAGCCACCCAGCCAGTAGTCTACACCTCCCTACATGGCAGGTGGATTAAACGAACTGTTATGGATTCCACTGACTGATGAGGCCATGTTTCGGTTTGACCACCGCTAGCTCTTTCTTTGCCCAACCTGATCCATCCTATATCAGTCAGCTAGCATTGACCATCAAAGAAGGTGATGGCTAGGCATGTTATGTTTACAGAAGTTATAATTTATGGATTGTTAGATAGGCTAACTCATTGAGGGAATGGTGAATTGCTCATCTCGTCAACTGAAGACTGGCGAACTAAGGAGGAATCTCCTGTTCAGTGCTTCAAGGTATACAACGATTTGTGAACTGGTGTCTAAGTCTGTCTTGAATCGAGGCACATTGACAGAAGTGTGTATAACCTATATTCGTGAATATTTTAGTCATGCGACATTCGGCAAATATGACTGGCCACCTTTCTCTACTAAAAATATAAATAGCGCGAGTATTTGCTGCTTAGTCATTTGTTGTTCTCAGAGGTAGTACTGTCATCGTCAGTGGAGAGCTAAATGAAAGATATGAACATCATGTGAGATATGACTCCCATGAGAAGAAGATTGTCTCTGTAGTGTGGGTGAGGTGACCTGGTTATTTTTCGCCATACTAATGAATGCGTCGGTGGTATACCGGTTAGGACGCTCGCCAACCATGCACATGGTCCGGGTTCTATCCCCGACCGATGCACTCCTTTACCTCACTAAGTCAGAAATAATGTTGGTAAAGAGGAAAGGTTGGGCATGAGGCTAGCAACCCCATCCTGTGAAAATAAACACCACTGCTACAGAAACTTCAAGCCACTAGCTTGAAGCCCTATGTTCCGCTGGGGAACGTGAAGGAAAAAAATGAATTAAACTGTATAGTGGCAGTAGTGAGAGTGATTGTTATTCTGTGAGATCGTGCTGTAACAGATCTTCTGTGAAACCTTCCTCTGAGGTAAGATGCATCACTTGGTGCTTTTTCTGTCTTATTTCTCACTTTGTATTCGACTATGTTTTTTTCCGACATTTCCTTTCATATTGTTAAGTTACCTTCACTTTAGCATTTAACAGTTTCTTTTAATTGGATTCTGATCTTCATGCGAGTATATTCACCCGGGAGATTATTGCTCCTTAGTGTTTTTTACGACTGCAATTCCAAAGTTCTTGTATGTACCAGATCCTCAGACACACTTATTGTGATGGGGAATGTGATACTATGCAGTTACCCAAGGTGAGGCTTAATTTGGTGCAGCGAGGTTCGAACTCACCAACCAATTGACTGGAAGGAAGCCGAGTACTTTCAAACCAGTGAATCATACCTCTATTAAATATCCAAAAGCCGGTGAAAGATCCTTATGCTTACTACCTACATACAAACTTTATGATTTACCATATTCAGTGTGTTTAAGCTTATAAATATCTCATATGGTTGGGTATACTTCGAATTTCGAGATATTGCCGTTTATATTTGACAAAAATTGAGTTTCGAGTTTACACTGCGTTTGTGGTGCCACTTAATGGGAACATGTTTCCGCCGCTCCGTTGCAACACTTTGTTTCATGGTTAGTGTAGATCAAATATCGAAACTGATTTTGTGAGATGCAACACAGGAATTCGTTGATCAATTAGTGAAACTATCCTCATTGTTGTAGGATGTTTCTAAGTCAATGCTTTTGCAGGAGGCGCTTATTAACATTAATTGGTATATCAAAAATGAAAAGAATGAATACATTACGCCATTGTGGATGTTTTCAAATTGTATTAATCATTTATCCTGAGTACACTGAGGATTAAAGCCAGGTACTGTGCACTTCCTTACAAGTGCTCAAATCGAGAGGCAATGAATTCAGTGGAGTTCAGCCACTGTAACTCTTCTCTAATTTTATCCCATATCAGATAACACTTATTGTTGAGTACGGCAGTGGCTCGACGTATGTGCTAGGCTACATCAACCAACTTGATTGGTTGACTGGTCTTTTCTGGGGAAAGTTCTAAGTTCAGTGTGGACATTGCTCACATTATTGCTTGATCTAATAACCCTTGTAATCGGATGAAGACACATGGTCAACAAGATGTAGTCTTTCTGTATCATCTGAATTAAGCGTTCAAATCTCAATGTGGCGTAAATTAGGAGCGAAGTGAACTGTAATTGTGATGATGAACAGTTGGGTATCTTGCCTGTCAACCTTGAAGGCGATGCAAGGTAGAAAACCTTTTGTTTTTCTGGCGATGAGGTTTCATGTGTTGCATACCCGACCGAAAGCTGCTACCTTGACGTGGTGGTCGGGCTTGAACACCGCAATGATCTATTCAAGCTATACTGGCTGAGACTTATGTCTTTTGAGGTCCTACCATGGCAGGAAGGTTGTTTGGATAGCGGTTAAACAAAAAGCAGCTACCCTATCCAACATCATGATAAATACAAAATCACAAAATTTCATGCCGGATCGGCCGTGGCCCGGATTAACAACGACCGCGCTTCCTGCTGCCTTGTCACAGGGCAGGAGTGATAAGTATGCTACTGAGGCACACCAAACAAACAAAAACAGGCCGCGTGTGACCGGCCTCAAGCAGTTATCCCCTGGGCTCTGCGGTCACGCAACCAACCTCCACGGTGTGGGCAGCCGGAAGTAACAATCGCCCTCACAATCCGAAACGCACGCGAAACCTCTCTATTACTCACTCTCTGTGTTGCATAAGGATGACTCAAACATTCCAGAAATATTCTCACCAAGAGTGATCTACTTCTGAACAATTGCAAGGATCTGAGTAAATACTGAATAAAAGAAACAAGCTGGTTGATAACATTGCGAACTTCATCCGATATCCATCTTAACAGTGATGATTGAATTGAGTCTTTTAAATAAATTCTGTGAAGAAAAACGCACTTTTGTGTTCATCGTGTAGAGGAAGTTTTACATCGGTGGTTTGTTTTTTTCCTCAACGGGAATGTTTGGCGCTTACAACTGGACTAATGGACGTGCGGGTCTGCTTAGATGAACTTAAAAAAAGCCTTACAACAAACTTATGGTAGTGTACATGTCCTCCAGGATCTGAAAGTACTTGTTTTAGTCACCGGAAATCATAGAATATAGCTCCTGACGCTGCTCCACTACCACGTGGATTAGACTTCGAGTTGAAGGTTTGACGTCTGGCCTCTAAAGTCATCTGCTGCATTCTGGATCTCCGAGCAGAATCACAGCCATCTGACAAATTATGAGATTTTGTTTGGCGCATTTCTTAGTAGTACGCACCCACCGGAGTTCGGGCTCAGGACCTCCTAGTTACTAGGTGCGCTCGCAAATCATTCAGCCACTGTAACCCAACCCCAACGGTCGATGAATTCTGAATTTCGCCAATTCCGTTGCTCTAAATATATCACGAATTAGCAGAAGTTGAAATTCATGGACCGTTGGGTCAGGTCCCACTGGCCGAATGGTGTACAAGCTTGCTTTGTAACCAGGAGGTCTTGGGTTCGAACCCTGGTGGGTACGTAATGATAAGGAGTCCGAAACGAGGAAGAAACAGCTGTCCATTGCCTCTCTTAGTACCCATTAATGTGCTGAGTTTGCGTCTTAATAATCCAAAACATGAACATTAATTCTACAGAGCATGTCTTGTAGTGCTTACTTTACTTTACTTCGGCTATCTCCTACGGGAGGATGAGCCGGCTTCATGAACCATGAAGTTTCATGGGAATTGGGTACGAGTGATGTCCCTAGCATCGCTCGGCCTTTTGTTTGAGAGTGCAGCTCTAGCCTTTACACAACCAACCAAGTGTGACCTACAAGGCAGTAGGAGTGGAGTAGGGAGTCCACTATCCATTGGGAGCCGGTGACCGAGTCCGGTTCATTCGCCTTTTTGAATGGGGCCAGTCATCCAGGGCATCCAATAAGCCATTTGTCCATACGTCTGCCGGTGAGCTTCATACGCCAGTCGTTGGAGGTTTGTAGTGCTGATAAGTTGGATGTGAGTTACACGTTGTCGTTTTTTTTTCTATGTGGCGAATTTAGTATGTATCGTCCGTCACAGTTAACCATTGATAATTTAACAATTCATATTGGTTTTGTGAGATTGGTGGTGAATTCTGTAATTATAATATTCGTACCCATTGAATTATGGTCGCATTGAGTTGTATTCACTTTACTTCCCAGCAAGGTGGAGCACTACTAATGAGTAGTATCATAATCATTTTAGAATCATTATTTGATGCTTTGGTTTTAATACCTTTACCATAGGTATCGACTCAACTCTGGTTACTTCTAAGACGGTTCGCATTTGTGATGTTTGTGATCCTGGTTTGTTTAACGTGTAATTTCGGATGCATAATAGATTGGAATTACTATTCAGTATTCTCACAGTGGTGTGTGCATCAGTAGTAGTTCAGTGGTGGAACTCTCGCTAACCACGCATGTAGTTCGTGGTTCGATCCGCGGTGGCTAACGCACTCTTAAACTGTGCTAAGCCGATAGTAACGGCTGGCGATCCCCCACTCCGTAAAAAATAAACACCACTCACCAATTGGATGTATTTCTCCATACTACTGACTTACATTGCTCCTGCTATAAAACTTGATTTAAATTACTCGCACTCCTTTAAAGTGGACTTCGTCTGTTTGTTTTCTTTTCTCAATTCAGAATTCAGCAGAAAAGAAATGCTGACGTCTTCAGTGATGACGAATTGTTCCACCAAGCAGCAGCAGCAGCAGGAGGATGAAATCTCTGCGATGAAATGGGCTAAATTATTGCCTGTACATGATTCGTGTATGCATGAACTATCTCAAGAAGTGATTACTATTGGATCATCTGAAGGTAGGTAGTTCCAACCCCCCCTCGCCACCCCCACCGTCATTTTCTTCATTTTCATCTAATTCTCTCTTTTTTCTCACTGATTAGAATGTTCCATTCTCGTCAAAGATGAGAATGTCTCAGCTTCACATTGTATGCTGATCAAAGATCCAGACAATGTGATCTGGCTGTATGATTGTAGTGAAGACAAAGGGACACGATGTAATAATGGTAAATGGTTGAATCAAGACTGCATTAGTCTACATAACGGGGATTACTTCCATCTTGTATGGGATGAAGTCGATGAGAGTAAAAGTAAGTTCTCCTTATCTTGTCTGTTGATGATTAACTGTTTTTTTTTATAATAAAGGTCGTATTTTTGTATTTCCCAATGAATGAAAAACTAAACGATGTTGTTGTTGTTTTTGCTGACGTTTCGCTATTTAATGCTGCTGCTAATAGCTTTATCAAAGTATTATTAAATCGGATTGTTTATCTGTCTGTCTGTCTGTCTGGATTCAACATGGAACTTGGCACCGAAGTGCACCAGTTCGAGTTGCCACTTTCCAAATAGCACACAAAGGTAGACAAGAAGATGAGTGTAGAGAATCAATAGAGTTTGACATGTGTAAGAGTGAAACAGAATGGGTAATGGTAGAAAGGAATATGAAAGATTACAGAGACTGAATACATCTGCGCCATTGACAACGATTTTGAGCCATGTCACCTATTGTCGCCAGCCATTGATTCCTAGAGTTCCGAGGGCCCCAACCGGGAAGTCTTCATCTCCCTACCAGACTCAGTTTAACTGTCAAGGATTTCATGAATTGATGCCATGTGTTTGTTTGGCCACCACTTACTCCTTTCCAACCTGCACCTATATCAGCTAGTAGTGCCTGTCGAGGGAGGCGATGGTTAGGCATGCGCACCACGTGACCTAGCCATCTCAATCTATGTAACTTTATAGCCTCGTTGATTGATTTTCTCTGTTTGCCCAACACTCTACGCCTAACGTCAACATTACTTACCTTATTATACCACCTAACGTGAGAAGGAGGTCGTAGACATCTATGTTCGAAAGCAGTCAACCTTTTCATGTCTTCAACTCGTATTGGCCATGTTTCAGAGGCATAGAGAAGGATGGAGCGAACTGGTGAGCAGTACACACGTTCCTTGGTTGATAGCCGAATGTCACGCCTACGCCAGGGATGGTGTAAGCTAGAGAAAGCAGCTCGAGGTTTTTGGATCCATGCTGAAATTTCGTCGCCAATCAGTTCGTTGGTGCTGATACGACTTCCCAAATAGGTGAAGTGGTCAACATGTTCTATCACTTCACTGCCTATCACTAAGCTAGGAGTTGACGTAATCCATTTCTGTAGCAGCGTCTTACATTTGACAGGAGCAGGCGAATCGCATGCCAAACATACGAAGATTGCTGCTCAAGGTGTTCAGAAGACTCTGCTGGATTTTGTCATCATCCTCTCCTAACAGGACTATGTCATCTGCATATTCTAAGTCCATAAGACTATTCCCTGGTAACAAGTCGATTCCTAAGTCGTTAAGTTCAGTTAAGGATACTTCCATTACCATATCTATGGTGAAGTTAAAACCGGAATTTACAAAATCTCAGCATATGTATAACAGAGTTAAGGGGTGAGAAAATAGACTACTTAGGTCAAGTTAAATTAAAAGGACATATTGAAAGTCAAAATAACAATAAAAATAACTAAATCAAGGTAATATAATTGAATTTTTGATTTTCCCGTCGATTGATTGGACTGAAGTGCTCCGTCTCCACTGCTAATCACCATCCACCAATTAAACAAAAGTAATAATACGTCAATTATGATATCAAAACAAAGTTTATTAACTTGATCATCGTTCGTCAGTCTGCGGTCATGTTTCGTTGTCAAGTTGGTCAATTGGTAAAGATAAGAAAGTCAAGTGTAGATTGTTGGATTTGATCAGTATGTAAAATTATGAAAGTAGTGTGTGTTTACATAGTGAACTTATATATGACATTAGTGTTGATTTTGTCACTTCATGAGGGAGGGGATGGAGGTGTTGTAAACAGGTTTTTGAATGCTATAAGTAAAGATAAATTTGACTCATTAAAACCATCAGATTGTAAATTCCCGGATATGTATGAGTTGCCAAAAATACATAAACCTAATAATCCTCTACGTCGTCCTATATTGTCAATGTGCAAATCCCCAATGCATAAACTTGCTAAATGGTTAGTAGATCTATTGCATCCAGTCAAAACACAATTCTATAAGTATGCCTAATAATACTGTGATAAAGCTATTTAGCAGCAGCATTAAAAAGCGAAACGTCAGTAATAACAACCATATCGTTTTGTCTTTTTTCATTCATTGGGAAATACAAAAAGAAGCCTTTATTATAATGAATATCATATACCGAATACCCAAATGTTATGTACTCGTCGAGTAGTTAATAGTCCTGACGCGGAAAGAGGGAAATCAGAAGACAACCACCAGGTTTACAATGATACTTGTATTTTCCAGACAAGGAAAATAAATGTCACACAAGAGTATGTGAGTGAAATGGTACGAAATGTACGAACAAGAAAAAATATATAAAGTGTACAAAGCAAGAGTATATATGAAAATGGCTAATGCACATGAACCAATAAGATAGCCAGTCTTACCATGATTGGTTGTAATGTCATGTGACAACAAGGTCATACATTGTTTATTTAGTTAGTGGACAGACAAAAGCATAATGTCAGTTATAATGGAATATCGAACCATACACACATAGCAAAATATAATAGACTGTCAAAAACAAAACACACACATCATGTGGATACATATCACCAAATTTTTTCAAACTGTTAAAAGTGAACTTGAACATCATATATAAACTGTTTTTGTGTTGTTGTTGTTGTTTTTCTTCTTGAAGGAATCGGATTTTGTATTTTATTATCTGATGATAATAGTCAGAAGATGGATTCCATTAACGATGAATGTCATGATAAAGCCAAGATAATGAAGATGACGACGACGATGATGATAACTCCTGTGGAATGCCAAACACAACCATCAACATCCTCCTCGTCTTCTACAGCATCAACATCAATGTCTGCAGATAGTGAAATGGAGTCGTGTTTAACATGTGTAATTTGTGGAGATATCTACTTTGAATGTTGTAGGTATGTATGTTCAATCATTTGTAAAATCTTTGTTCATCAAAATTTTCCTTTACAGGAATTTCATCATGAGCTGACATTGATGTTAGAGAACCATTGGAAAACCTTCAGGGAGTACCGGATAGCTGTTTCGTCCTAATTTGGGACTCTTCATCAGTACGCACCCACCGTGTGGGGCTCGAACCTAGGACCTTCTTTCTGGTTACAAGTCGTGACCAGTAGGGTGGTGCAGCAGGTCAGGTGTGAGGACAAATACTCGCCAAGGAAGACATTGGCTTGGGGTGGTGCTATATCGTGAATTGGCAGAAGTTAGAACTCATGAGCTAGCCATTGGATAGGTGGGTCCCAGTGGATAAATGGTCTACGAGCTCTCTTGCCTTGTAACCAGAAGGTCCTGGGTTCGAACCCCACGTGGTGGGTGCGTACTGATGAAGAGTTCCAAACTAGGACGGGGGGGGAAACAGCTGTCCAGTACTCCCTGGTAGTGGTGGTTTTCCAATGGTTCTCTAACAGCAATGTCAGCTCATGATGAAATCCTGTAACCAATCAATCAAATCCCCCTACAAACCAACACTTGAATATTTTTTGTTTTGTTTTTGTTTAGTGTTCAACCATGTCTACATAGTTTCTGCACTCTATGCTGGTTGAAATGGCAAAAATCTGAATGTCCAATGGTAAGTCATCTATGCACACACAATTTATATATGTGTGTGATGGTTGGTTTTCTTTTACAGTGTCGTAAACACGTATCAGCTTATGCTAAAAATCATCAATTGAATGATTTAGTCGAGGTGTTTCTTCGTAAATATCCAGAGAAATCAAAGTCAACTGAAGAACAAAATGAAATTAAAGAAGAAATAAGAAGATTGGCAACTGTAAGTTTGTGTGTGTGTACGTGTGTGTCTGTGTGTGTTCTGGTAAATGATAATTGATTATAGGATTTCATCATGCGCTGACATCGGTTAGAGAACCACTGGAAAAATCAGCCATGGAGTACTGGACAGCCAACTGTTTTGTCCCACTGGTTTGGGACTTTTCAGTAGTACACACCTACCGCCGGGGCTCGGACCCAGGACCTTCTGGTTACAGGGCCAGCAAGCTCGTAGGGCATCAGGTCATTGGGACCCGCCAATCCGATGGCCAGTCCGTGAATTCCAATGGTTCTGTAACCGATGTCAATTCATGATGAGATCCTGTAACCAATCAATCAAATCCCCCCTCTGCACAAACCAATACTTAAATAATAATTGTTTACAATTTAATTTGCCTTCTTTTAGCCTACAAATAATTATCAAAATCGTCGATACAATAGGCGAAATAGAAGGTGAGTTTAATGTTACTTGTTGTTCTCCGTGTTTGCGTATGTTTATGTATGTGTGAGTGAGTAGGATTAGAAGTATTTTTATTTCGTTTTGGGGTACCTCTGAAATCGAAAGACTATTAGTGTTGCTTGACCACAGAGCCTATGGAACTATACATCGTCTGTTTGAATTAGTTTTCTGTATTGCTTCCCGTTGTTAAGATTTCACCACTGGCTACGCGAACCACCGCAAGGTGACTCGGGACTTACAAATTAGATCATAGGAATTATTACTAAAGCAGGTGGTTGCAGCGGAGACAATTTTCTTTACGACAAAGTCATTAACTAGGCTGTATATTCGTATATATATATTCGTAAATAGGTGGGAATTTGGATCTGGAAAACCTATTTCACACCTTCAATATCGGCCCGTCCAAATATCGACTTCATTCCAGAAGTTGAATCTGACGTAATATTTCACTTCCTCGATGTTCAACTGCGAAAAAATGCTGACAACTCATTGAGAAGATCGATCTACAAAAGTCTCAGATGGAGCGGACAGTTTTTCAACTTTCAAATTTGTGTTCCTCTAAGCAAAATGAGACACTTCATTTACTCTCTTTTCTCGATGATCTGGGAAATTTGTACTGAGGAATCAATTGACGAAGAATTACGAAATCTCCGAGGGACCTTGATAAAAAAAAGGTTTCTCACCCACATTCATAAACAAGAATCTGAAATCAAAGAAAATGTCATACCCAAAATGATCCCGCCGCTGAATCTCAAATTTACAAAAGGGATACTGCGGCAAAACTTCTCCGTAGACGGCTTTCGAAGTCTTTGAGTAAAACACACTTCTCTGCTAGCGTACGAGTGACATTTTCCTGCAAGAAACTATCCAACCAACACGTGAAAGACAAGCTGTTGCATTGGGCCACCTCTTCAGCATGTATTGCATGTACCAGTTCACTGGCTCGTGTGGAGCCGAGTACATTGGCCCTACCATGTGTCCGCTTGTAAAACGTGCTCGCGAACACTATCCATCCTAGCTGGTTAGCAAAGGGAAAGCGCAAGTGTGTATGTAGTTCGGTGACAGAATATCTGGTGAATTCAGGACACTCAGCTCCATTTGATAAAAAGTCCTTCAAAGTCCTATACAAGATCCGATCAAACCTCTCTCTCTCTCTCTCAAGGGAGTGAAATCAAGGCCTCTGGTTGGGAATAGCTGGAGCACTGGCCATCCAGAATTTCAAGCTCACTCTATGTTTTCAAGAGAAATACTTCCGACCGTTGTCCTTACCATGGTCATCATGAAAAGTTTGCAGGCCGGTCAATTTATATCAGGTGCGCGTCGGCTGGGGATCGACTCCCGGGACCATGTGCATGGTGGTCTGTGAGAGTCCTAACCGTTGTGCCACCGACGCAAAGTTGTATTTTGTAACTAGTCTGTCAGGTTACTTCTTATTTATTGCAATTCCCCTCGGGTTCAGAGCAGAACTTAGGGTTTGAAACTTGAGTCTTGAAGTTTGAGTAGCGTTGGAGTTGTTTTTAGTGGTAGGTGTCGAATGGGAAGTGTGGGGTTGCTAGCGGTATATCTACTCTTCCCCCCCCCTGTTGTCGAGCACTCTACCACCGGTGTTAAGCGAGGTTAACTCTAGGTAGATATTTTTTGTGTATGTGTGTATGTTTCCACTCCAATATTTCTCATATCCTATATTAATTTTTTGATTATCACCAATGATATTCCTAATTGTGGTTGACTGACTGGATTATTCGTCAGACAGTGGGAAACAAGAAGACAGGGAGGGATATCCTGGACCGACGTGAAGAACCTAAAAGACCTGGATTTCGCGCGTGGATGATGTCACACAAAATCGAAGACTTACAAGCGAAAACCGACAAACTGGTCGAAGAAGCACACAGTGAAGACAGGACTGCAGGTGAACATAGACAAGATAGAGGCGTTGAAAAAAACTAACCAACCAACCATCAACAACAACAGCAGCAACATCCAGCACCAATCACCATCAACGAGGGAGGGATTTGAAAGAGGTTACTTCACTTGTCTAGGAAGCATTATCTCAACTACGGGCAGCTGGAACGGACGAGGATGTCAAATCGAGCGAGAATCGGGAAGGCGAGAAACACATCAACCTGAAACCAATCTGGAAATCTTCGTCACTCAGCCAGCATCAACAACAATATTCAGTCGGATTTTCAGTACAAACGTCAAGTCAGTCAGTTCTTCTGTACGGAATGGATCAGAAACTTGGTGGGCTGGTCAAAAAGAATACTTCCAACAGCCTGTTGCAGACCAGAGCTTTATCAACAACTAACTGTCTTCGCTGGATTTATACTGAAAATCAGATGGCCGGCCGGATCGGAAAGAATCACCAACAAGAAACTATGGCAACAAACAAAAGAAGAACCAATCGCCAACCAACAAATATGCAGGAGAAACTGGAGATGGATTGGACACTCGCTGAGTGAGGAGGCCCGCTGGGTGACATCGCGCGCCATTGCGTCAGGCCATTGGTCGAGTGGAACCAGGCCGAAAGGGAAGCGGCGAGTGGGACGTCAGTGCAAGGGTGACATGGAGGAGATCGTATGAAGAGGAGTTGAAAGAGTATGGAATAACATGGATGGATGGAGGTGAAAAGTACAGCAGCAGGAAGACAGAAGTGGCAGGTGGAGACGTGCAGTTGGGAAGCCCTATGTTCCACTAGGAACCCAAGGGAACAATAATAATAATAGTAATGTTGATTTTTACTTCTTTTTTCCCTCCTCTTTTTTTATTTATTTCATTAGGCAAAGAGTCGAAAGATATGCAGTCACTGGAGGTATTGGTCGTAATGGTTTATTACACACTGGTGGGGGTGGTGGTGCCGCTGCAACTGCTACTTCCTCTAATATTTCACTTATCAATGTTGATGAAATTACCCTGGCGACTACTACATCATCAATTGTCAATGAAATTATTACTACTAATAATCCTACTTCTATTGTCAATTATCCAATGACTAATGATACTGTTATACCAACTATGATGTCATCGTCAGTGTATACCCCATTTAACTCTAGTTGTATTTTTTGTTCATGGGTACCACCAAATGGTCGTCGTGATCAAAGTAGTAGTGGCAGTGGTGGTGGTAGTAGGCTTGCTGGTGTTGGGAATCATGTTACACGAGATAATGAATGTATGTTTTAAACCCCTGTTTTTTGTAATTTTTTTATTTTCTTTTATACACCTCCTTTTTTGTGTATTATTGGATTTTAATATAGCGAAAATATTCAGTCTTATAGAAAATAGAAAACAAGTGATGATTCCGCGAAGAGACTCTTTCCAACAATGAATTTATCATCAAGCTGTACAATCGTATATATATGGTGTCTTTTAAGAAGTTATATCCGGTGAGGGAATTGAATCATAGGTGTGAATGCATAAAATAATCATAATAGTATGAAATGCAATTACAAAAAATTAAAGTGTTTGTGATTACAATCATAGTTAAATGTCAAGTGGCTAAACAAATTAATGTCATATTTTCATATGTTTCTTTATGAAACTACTCGGATAACCCATCTCCGTCAAGGAATCGTGAATATATTCAAATTCCTTTGTAAGAGGTGAGACATTTTACAACATTCCTTTATACTAGGCACGTAACTAAGGAAGTGTGTGTATTGCCCTGTGAATATGCTTTTTCTGTACACCTTCTCCCAAGTGACCCATCTTCTCTCCTAATTAGCAAGACATCCAGGAAATGTAGTTTATTCTCCTGCTTCTCTTCACAAGTAAGGTAAGCGAAGGGTGGATGTTGTTGAATTTCAGCAACATTCGTCTATGTTAACATTCCATCAGCTAAGATAATGTATCATCGACATATCGGTAATACATATCCAACTCCTTGTTATCTTCAATTTGTTTTCAAGAAGTCAGCTAATATTGGGCCTAATGATGAACCCATAGCTATTCCATCTACTTATCGTAGTATGAATATTGAAGACGAAGTGAACATTCATTGTGCATTTAAGAAGTAATTCTTTGAGGCTACACAAGGGGATTCCTAAGTCTAATTGCCTATCGGTATTTCTTGACAAATATAATCATCTGTTTCCATAAGCGGTACGTTAGTGAATAGTGATGATACATCCATGATAACATGCGTTTATACTCACATTGGTCTCGGATATTTTAGAAATAAAGTCTGTCATATATAGAATAATTCATAGAATGGATAGAACTTGAGAAAGGGCGTGCAATTATAGGATTTGTAGACAAATCGAATAAAATAAAAAAAAAGTTACGTAACACTGTGTGTGAAATTTAATAGCATAGAATCTATCGTTGTAAAAAAAAGAATTGGTTTAGAATGACAAGTGGAACAGGTGAAATAATACCAGGGACGGTTCAAAGTGAGAATAGTAATAGTAACAATTGGCGTAATAAAGGAAGAGTATACAAATTGGATAGACAAAATGAAAAATTGGTAGAGCTAGAATATGATTGGGAATTAAGGCCATGAAAGTTGGAGGGGTTGAACGAACCTTTTTCTGTACACAGAGATCTGGCTTTTCTGTTTCGATAGCCAAAGATGGCTTCAGCAATACAGATGAGTCAGGTACGTAGGAATTGGGGTAAATTACTCTTTGCCTTGTAGATGACTTTAAAGGCGGAGGTTATAGAGATTATTGTGTAATCATTATCGACCAGATGTTCAATGATCGCGCTTCTTATTGCTCCACTCCCATCTTTTTCGTAATCATTTAACTATGATTATAATCACAAACATTTTAGTTTTTAATCGCATTTCATACTAATATTATTATTTTATGCATTCACATCTGTGATTGAATTCCCTCACCGGATATAATTTCTTAAAAACAATCCATGTATATACGATTGTACAGCTTGATGATAAATTCATTGTTGAAAGGTGTCTCTTCGCTGAATCATCACTTGTTTTGATTTTCTATATGTTACATGTTTCCATGAGTTAAAAAATATTCATTCAGACATCTATAAAAATACAAAATGATTGAGTGAGCAAAGAATATCCTTTTCGATAATTTCCTCTTCTGGCTCTACAATTATATACGTACATGTTTATATACATAGAATATTCTAGATTAGTAGTCAATAACAGTAGTGTTTTTTTTTTTAAATAACATCGATTTGTTAAGTAAGATCAGCGGAATTACAGTTCATTAAAGATGCTCAAATAATAATAATAGCAAATAGAATATCAACTAAAATTTGGGATATTTTACCAAAAATTGAGGATAATTCAAACCTAAATGGCCAAGATAAGGATAATGTCTGAACTAGCTTCTTTTGGACACACATATTAGGCTTCTTAATGTGGATCCCAACGGCCACAGCAATGCGTAGTAGACGAACTCTTAAGACGAAGTTATTATTAGTTGGTTGGTATGCGGTAAATGACTTTGAAAGCCGCCCTCGTTGACATCAATCTTGTGTTCTGTATCCACAAGATAAGTGAGATAGAATAGCGCTACGAATAGATTTTGCTTATCCTTTACTTAACCACTTTGCAGGATTAATAATTGATTAATTAATTAATTTTTCCTTCACGTTCCCAGTGGAACATAGGGCTTCAAACTATAGTGGCTTGAAGTTTCTGTAACAGTGGTGTTTATTTTTACAGGATAGGGTTCCTAGCCAGCCTCTCGCTCAACCTTTCCTCTTCACCAGCATTATTTCTGGCTCAGCGAGGTAAAGGAGTGTGTCGGTGGCGGGGGATCGAACCCCGAACCATGTGCATGGTTGGCGAGCGTCCTAACCGCTGTGCCACCGACGCATTCATTGGTATTTCTCTGATGATGCCCCCGAGGAACTGCATTTGCAAGAATAAGGACTTTTTAGGAACTGTTGGTACTTTGGGTTGCTTTGATTTTAGATTCATATTCTTATCAATGAACTTTTCTGGATAAATATTTTCACTCAGCAACTGTACAAATACAAACGCAATCTGATAAAGTGCTTATTCCGCCACGGAGCAAGAGCAGTTCGCTCGGATAAATGTCTTGATGAGGAACTTAATAATATTAAACAGTTGCTGAGTGAAAATATTTATCCAGAAAAGTTCATTGATAAGAATATGAATCTAAAATCAAAACAGCCCAAAGTACCAACAGTTCCTAAAAAGTCCTTATTCTTGCAAATGCAGTTCCTCGGGGGCATCATCAGAGAAATACCAATGAATGCGTCGGTGGCATAGCGGTTAGGACGCTCGCCAACTATGCACATGGTCCGGGGTTCGATACCCGGCTACCAACACACTCCTTTATATCACTGAGCCAGAAATAATGCTGGTGAAGAAGAAAGCTTGGGCATGAGGCTAGCAACTCCATCCTGTAAAATAAACTCTGTTACAGAAACTTCAAGCAACTAGTTTGAAGCCCTATGTTCCACTGGGAACGTGAAGGAAAAATTAATTATTAATCCTGCAAAGTGGTGAAGTAAAGGACAAACAAAATCTATTCGTAGCGCTATTCTATCTCATCTTGTGGATACAGACAGAACACAAGATTGATGTCAACGAGGTGACTTTCAAAGTCATTTACCGCATACCAACCAACTAATCTTAACTTCACCTTAAGAGTTGGTTTACTAAATATTTCTGAGGCCGGCTGTTGGGATCCACATTGAGAAGCCTAATTTATGTGTCCAAAAGAAATTAGTTCAGACATTGTCCTTACCTTGGCCATTTAGGTTCGAATGATCCTCAATTTTTTGTAGAAATTTCCTTAATTTTAGTTGATATTCTATTTTTATTATTATTATAATTTGAGCATCTTTAATGAACTGTGGTGATTCCATTGTGATCTTACTTAACAAATCGATATTATTTAACAAACACTAATATTGTTATTGACTACTAATCTAGAATATTCTATGCATATAAACGGTTGTATATATAAATTGTAGAGCCAGAAGAGGACGAAATTATCGAAAAGGATATTCTTTGCTCAATTACTTTGTGTTATTAGATTGTTGCTGTTGTTATTGAGTATTTGTTCTATGTGGGTTGATAAGATGACACATTTGTACATTTTGAACAAAACTCACAACTTGTCAACGTTTTCAGCGTTTTTAACGACGTCAAATTCATCAGAGAAGAGGAATCCGAGAACAAAATCCCATTTTTGGACATCTTAGTCAAGCGAACAACCACAGGGGAATTAGAAACTCAAGTTTATGAAAAAATCAACTCACACATACCAAATACTGAATTGCAACGGCAACAATCCAATAACACACACACACACACAAAAGGAATTGTATACAAACACTATTTAAGAGGGCCAGGACTCATTGTAGTTCTCCTACCTTAAGGAAAAATGAAGAAAGATATCTCACGGATGTCTTCCAAAAGAATGAATGGATATCCACGGAACTTCATCAAAAGACATATTTCCCCCCAAGCCAACCTACCAAATCAAAGATCCCAAAGGAAAGCACAAAAAAAATCGCCCTACCATATATAAATAACGACATCTCAGAAATCAATGCAAGATTCTTCAAACCGTCCTTTAGGAATTGATGTCGCAAACAAACCAACAAAATTACTCCACTCAACTCTGTGTCAACCAAAAGACTGAACACGGAGAGAAAATAGAACCGACATCATCTACAAGAGAAATTGCAATGACTGTGACAAAAAATTACATTCGTCAGAATAGACTCCCTCATCATCTTCTGTCTGTCTGTTTTCGATATAGAACTTTGCACCGATATGCGGCTGTTCAAGTTGCCACACTCCTTCCATGTAGCACACAAAGCAAGAGAACAAAGTAGAAGAAATGTATAGTAGAGACAGTGAACAGAGGTGTGAGACAAAGGAATAGTAATAACGGATGAAAAACAATATAGTTTCATTGGAAATCATAAGTCACAAGGAGTGGATGCATCTGCGCTAGCCATTGAGAGCGATTTTGAGCCATATCAGCAATTGTCTCCAGCCATTGGTTTTCACCGTCCCGAGGACCCCAACCAGTTAGGAAGTCTACACCATCCTACGTGACTGGCTTAAACTAACTGTTGTGGATTTCATTGACTTGTGAGGCCATGTTTTGGCTTGACTACCACTAACCAGTTCTTTTCCAGTCTGACCCTATGTCAGCTAACATTGCTCGTCGAGGGAGGCGATGACTAGGCATACATAACACATGTCCTAACCATCTCAGTCGATGTCACTTCACGACTTCGTCGATTGATTTCCCCTGTTTACCTAGAACTCTACGCCTAACCTCAATGTTGCTCACCTTATTATGCCACCTTACACGGGAAATAGAGCGCAGGCACCTATGATCAAAGACAGCTAGTCTTTTAATGTCTTCCACTCTCAGTGGCCAGGTCTCACAACCAATAAGGAGGGCGGAGAGGACTGATGAGCAGTACACCCGCCCTTTGGTCGATAGCCGGATATCACGTCTACGCCAGAGACGGCGTAAACTGGCATATGCGAAACTAGCCCTCTGTATCCGTGGTGAGATTCCGTCAGAAATCAACCCGTTGGTTTTGGCTGATGGTACTTCCCAAATAAGTGAAGTGGTCAACGTGTTCTACCACTTCACTTCCTATTTCTAAACTAGGAGTCAGTGTAGTCCAGTCCTGTAACACCACCTTACATTTGGCGGGAGCGAATCGCATGCCAAATATTCATCTTTGCATCCATAAACATAAACTACTAGCCATCAAAAGACACAATATCCACTCCCTCACTCATATTGCCGCTTCATCCAGACAACCATGGATCCCACCCAATTCTATTGGGACAATGTTCAAATTATATCAGACAGAAGAGAAACACCAAAAAGGCACCATAGAATTTTCGTAAGTGTGATATTCCAGTGATTCGGCAGTTGTCAGGCACAATAGTAATAATATTGGCATTTTTATTCTGAACAGTATTTTTATAAAGTGTACAGAATTTTCAGAGAAGTTTAATTGCATGATATTTTCCTCTCTTCGGACAATATCTTCAAGGAAAACATTAATTAATTGACAGTGACACAATAGACTCTCTGAGCTGAAGCAGAAACCATTCATTCCATTATGTGATATATCTGCTTTGTCTCCTTCCTTCAAGAAATCCACGATATCGATCTAGCTGTGAAAGCTAATTGTAAGATGTTCAGAAGTACATTTTGAGATCCAGGGAAATAACTGAAGAACAGTTATTGCATGTTGTGTAGGAACACGTTGCCACTGTCACAATCAGGCTATTCCTCAAGATTAGTAGAAACTTGCGTAGCAGAAGCTTGTAAACAATTTAAATACATACAAGAGTAGAGAATACCATTAGGGGTGATATATTAGTCGATTAAAACAAACCGAATGAGAGAAAATGTAAGCAATAGAGAGAGAGAGAGAGAGAAATGGAAGTTTTTAGGTAGCCGAAGTTTTAAGCAGGCTGTCAATACATAACACTTATCAGGATTCAAGCATTACTCAGCTAGTGACGAATTTTTTAATCTCATTGCTGCTGGCTTTTATTCATATAAATACTTTTTTATAGTTGGTTTGTAAGTATTTATTTTTGTTTTAACGAGTTGATCACGGAGTGATATCAGTTAGAGAGAACCATTGAAAACCAGGACAGGATACTTGACAGCCAGGTGTTTCATCCTAGTCTGGGAATCATCGCAGTACGCACCCACTACCAGGGTTCGAATCCAGGACCTTCCGGTAACAAGGAAAACTGCTCGTATACCATTCAACCATTCACTTAGACCCGATTCAATGCCAGTCCATGAATTCTAATTTCTACTAATTCGTGATTTAGCGCAACCACCAACCAATGTCGTAGGTGGGACATCCATCCTCGCACTTGACATCTGAATGGACCTCACTGGACACGACTTCTCACTAGAACCGCTCCAGGAAACTCCATCCTGTTGTAAGTCACCAGTGAGCATCATATTAATTTTCTATAGTTGGTTTGTAGGAATTAGTTTTGTTTTTACGATTTTGGGGTCTCGCTAAATCATGAATTGGTAGAGGTTAGAGTTCATAGGCCATTGAATCAGATCCCAGTGGCTGAATGATATACGAACTTGCTTGCTTGTTTGTAACTGAAAGGTCCTGGCTTTCGAAACGGTTGTGGTGGGTGCGTACTTGCCGATGATTCTCAAATAGAATGGAACAGCAGTCCAGTACTCCTGTCATTGTTCTCAATGGTTCTCTAACTGATATCAATCCTTGAACAAAATCGTAAAAAATCATATAAATACGTTTAATTGTATCGTGTGTCTAACGGACTGTGATACTATTTTGACATAACAGAGTTTATTTTTATCAATTTATTATAATGTGTTTTAGGTTCATCACATTGTTTCTGTGCATGTTGTCGTCGACCTATGCCAAGTCAAACATCACTACATCCACGTGGAATAAATACAATTGAATGTGAAATATGCCGGCGTACATTTTGTTCATTGATCAATCCTACTGGTTGTGCTGGATGTAATGGTTACTGTTTATCACGACTACAAGGTGAGTTGTAAAATACTCTTTTTTCTTCTTTTTTAAATAAAATGACTGAGATATGAGTCATGAGGAAAAAATAGAAGACAATTCATCATTAGCGAAGAGAATTTTCTTTATCGACGAAATCATCTTCATTCAGAAGGGCTGTACAGTCGTATTTATGCTTACCAAAAACACGTGTATAGTATGATTGAATGGAGGATTTCATCATGAGCTGACATCAGATAGAGGACCACTGGGAGTACTGGACAGCTGTTTCCCCCGTCCTAGTTTGGGACTCTTCAGCAGTACGCACCCACTGCGTGGCGTTCGAACTCCTGACCTTCTGGTTACATACAAGGCGAGCTATCTCGTAGACCATTGAGCCACCGGGACCCGATCCAATGGCCAGCTCATGAATTCCAACTCTTCTGCGAATTGACGACATAGCGCGACCATTTCGCAATGTCTTCTTCGGTGAGTTATTTATTACCTTACCTTCAACCTTCTGTATCTTACTGGTCACGGCTTCCCAGTAGAACTGATGTCAGCTCATGATGAAATCCTCCATCCAATTAAACAAAAATCCCTACAAAACCACTACTTGAAAGCACGTATAGTAGTCTATTATTGAGTAATACAACTGGGCTGACATAATTGATATAATTACTCAGAAGTAAATTAAAAAAAAGAAAGCTGTAAATTACGTCATACTCAATGGCAGTGGGGTCCTTTGTTTGCAGACTGCTTCTTGGCAAATTGTTATTGAGTGGCAATAACGATGGTTGAGTGTCAATTTAACAAGTGTGGAAAGCGTGTGAAAATGTACAACAGGGAACATATCAGAGTGATAATAGTGCAAATAAAATTTTTTTCACAGGGAACGACTAGTGACGAGGTTAAGACCATGGTAGAATAACAGACTAGACAAACTTTTGTGTATATTGAGTTCGGGTTTGTATTGACGAATTGCCAACGCCTCCGTCATTATACATAAATGCCGAAACTTGTTGCCCTTTGTACCATTTAGCCTCAACTTGTAGATAATCTTGAAAGACGACTGTGGTGGAAGCTACGTGGCTTGAGTTCACCAAGTGTTCGAGAATTGAGCTAGTAATTGTCTTGCATTGTGCTTTTGCTAACTAACCATGTCGGATTATGTTCAGAGATGCGTTTGGAAAGTGTGCGCTTTGTATGTGTGGCCACTATAACTAGCTCCACACGAGCAGGTGAATTTATAAACACACATTGAAGTGGCCCGTGCAAAGCGGTAGTTCATCCTCCACACATTCATTGATCATTTTTCGGCTGTAGAAATTGATCTGTAGCTTTGCCGCAAAGAAGGCTTTTCTCAGCGATCTGCATAGGCGGTACTTCAGGATCTCGGCTGTCGCAGGCATCATTTTTAAATTCAACGTTCATAAATACCAGTTTCTTCGATACCATCTGGCTTCTTCCAGGCTTTTGTTTTAACTTCATGTTTTTCTCGATGAATCTTGGAGGGTATCCATTTTCTATGAGGGACCTGTCTGGGTTCCTCCAGCTCCCCGTCGATTGTACCACTGGAACTTATCCTTCTTATCCTTGAGGATAAAGAGTGAATCAGGTTTCTCTTTCTTCTAAAAGGGACCAAACTATTGACCATTCCATGTTGGTTTCCTGTAGACCGATCTTTGAAGAGAACCATTAGATCTCCTTTCTAGAAAAACATCCAAAAAATGGAATTCCGAGTTCATCTCTGATTCCGACGTGAATTGGATGACATGATCAGTGAACAGAAAGAAGAATATTCCTCTTTTGTGGTGAATTTCTTTCTAATGTTGGTTTGCAGGAATTCGATTTGATTGGTTATACTAACTTAGCAACTGCTAGGGTTCAAACCCGAAAGCTTCCGGTTATAAGGCGAGCTAGCTCGTAAACCATTTAGCCATTGGAACCCAATCCGACGACCAGCCGATGAATTCCAACTTCTGCCAATTCACGACATAGAGCGACCATAAATTAATGTCCTCACACCCGACCTATTGTACGCCATTGGTCACGAATTCTCACTAGAACCCAGGTAACTACCTACCTGAATAGAACCAGTTGCTAATGAGCAGGTGGTTTTCTACAGTTATATGCATCGATAATTAATAAAGAATTATCTCAATTTTTTCGATCGCGAATTGATTTCAGTTAGAGAACCATTGAAAATCAGCAAAGAGTCCTCGACTCAGCTATTTCGTCCTTCTTTGGAACCTTGTTTTGAACCTCAGGACCTTCAGATCAACACTTGATCAAAATTAAACTCAATCAAATATCCCTGCAAGCCTTGATGACTTACTACAACATGGCCGTTACCTAGAGAGTTCTACTGAGAGAAGTTATAATGAGTCTTGGGTGGGTGGGGGATGCGTACTGATTGACTGGTTTCGGTTTAGAACTTTCCATAGATGTACACCAGTCCGAGTTGCCAAACTCCCTCCATGTACCACACAAACCAACAAAAGAGAGTAAAGACGGACTCGACAAAAGACAGATAATAAACAGAAGTGTGAGTGAGAGAGGGAAAAATAATATTAAAATGGAAGAACAATAAAGTTTCACTGGGTATGACAAATCACCAAGAGTGAATTTATCTACGCAATCCATTAGCAACGACGATTTTGAGCTATTGGTTTCTACCATCCCAAGGACCCCAACTAGTGTAGTCAGGCAGTCTACACCTCCTTACGTGGCTGGCTGACTAGCTTAAACTAACTATTGTGAATTTTATTGATTGGTGAAGTCAGGTTTCGGTCTGACCACCACCGCCAGTCAGTCTGTGTCAGTCAGTTAATATTGCTCGTCGATGAAAGAGATAGTTAGGATTGTATGTGTAACACATGCCCTAACCATCTCAATCGATGCAGCTGCTTTACAACCTCCTCGATTCACCTTCTCGCCTCACCTAGCACTCGACCGAAGCCCACCTAACACGGGAGATGGAATGCAGGCACCTACGGTCAAAGATACTAAACCAGTCTTTTCATGTCTTCCACTTTCAATGGCAGTCTGTCACAGTCAGCAATAAAGGAGGATGGAGGGAACTTCTGCTCAGCTTACACGTCTTTTGGTCGAAAGCTGGATATCGCATATATGCCAGAGATGGCGTTAGTTAGTAGGCAAATGCTAATCGAGCCTTTTGTATCCGCGCTGAGATTTCGTTACAGATCAACCCGTTGGGCATTGGGGGTTAATGCAACTCCCTAAATAAGTGAAGTGGCCAACACACATACACACCACCATCCGCTTCACTCCTGTCTATCTTCAAGCTAGGAGTGAGTCAATATAGTTTTTCAACTAATAATTTGATAATATTTTTTAAGATTTACAACGCAGCAGTTGAAGAGTGAGTAAATCGACGAAATAAGATGAGTTTACATTATCCTGCAAATCTGTGTTCATTCTTTTTTTTATTCAAACATTTTCTTTCTCTTTGTTTTTTCGCCGCGTACTAAAACTCTTCTTGTTTTGTTGAACACATTTCAGATTTAACAAGATATACCACAATTCCTCGGACTTTATTATTGAATAATCGGATAGAAACAGAAATTTTAAATGTAAGTTGAGCAGTATCTGTTTATTTATTGATTTATTTTGACATGACTTTTCACTTCAGTGCTGAATATGTTGTCTAGACGGACAATTAAAGCTTCACAAATGAATCCGACAGCTCCTTAGCGAATACAACTGTCGGTCTGTCTGGACTCAACATAGAACTTGCCACCGAAGTGCACCAGTCCGAGTTGCCACCTTCCAAATAACACACAAAGGTAGACAAGAAGATGATGAGTGAAGAGAATCAATAGAGTTTGACAAGTATAAGAGAGAAACAGAATGGGTGATGGTAGAAAGGAATATATGAAAGATTACAGAGACTGAATACATCTGCACCATTGACAACGATTTTGAGCCATATCACCTATTGTCGCCAGCCATTGATTCCTAGAGTCCCGAGGGCCCCAATCCAGAAGTCTGCACCTCCTACCCTACCTGATTCAGTTTAACTGTCAAGGATTTCATGGATTGATGAGGCCATGTTTTTGTTTGACCACCACTTAGTCTTTTCCAACGTGAACCTATATCAGCTAGTAATGTCCGTTGTCGGGGAGGTGATGGTTAGGCATGCTCTGCACGTCACCTAGCCATGCCTCGTCGATTGATTTTCCTTCATTGCCCAGTACTCTACGCCTAACGTCAACATTACTTACCTTATTAAACCACCTAATGTGAGAAAGAGATCGTAGACATCTATGTTCGAAAACAGTCAACTTTTTCATGTCTTCAACTCGTATTGGCCATGTTTCAAAGGCATAGAGAAGGACGGAGCGAACTGGTGAGCAGTACACACGTCCCTTGGTTGGTTGATAACCGGATGTCACGCCTACGCCAGGGATTGTGTAAGCTAGAGAAAGCAGCTCGAGCTTTTTGGATCCGTGCTGAGATTTCGTCGCCAATCATTACGTTGGTGCTGATACAACTTCCCAAATAGGTGAAGTGGTCAACATGTTCTATCACTTCACTCCCTATCACTAAGCTAGGAGTTGATGTAATCCATTCTTGTAGCAGCATCTTACATTTAACAGGAGCAGGCGAATCGCATCCCAAGCATACGAAGATTGCTGCTGGAATGTAGCGTCTTAGAAGTTGAATACTGTTACACAGCTGTCAGGAGTAGTTTGCGCAGCTGTTCATATCGGTGAAATAGTCCTATTAAAGAAGAAATACAACCACAGTTGCTCTAGAGCCAATAACATTTGGGTATTTACGACAAAGAATTTTAAAAGTGGATTATAGAGGTTATCCTAGACACTCTCTTACCAATTACTGAAAATACTAGCCATCCCTTGTACTACACTACTATTCACACTGACGGCGAATGGGCAGAAATCGACCGCTTTTCAGATTTTGGATATATGTATCACCGATTTAACTAATTCTGATAGTCCCTCGACTCCATACCTCATTCCAATTCACAATCGAGCAATTCTGACGGGGTAGATTGGAAGACAGGACAAGAGCAATAAACGGCTCGCAGTCACCTTGACGAATATATACGGTATAGAAATTGGTTTCCGACTTAAAAACTGACATTCCTCACATAACTGGGGGAACGTTTTTTAAAGTCACCTCAGAAAAAGATACCCTGTTTGGTGCGTTTTCATGCAGTAACTGTGAAGAATGAACCCGATTCAACCAATCAGGTCGCTCAGCATTACAAATGGATCCTTTTCGTAATCTTCGTCGCAAGATTTACCTAACCTTAATCATAACCTTACCTTAATCCTTACCCTGACCTTAACTCTGAATCAGGGTGAAACTTGCAGCGAAGATGATAAAAAGCATCCATTTGTAATGCTGAGCGATCTGATTGGTTGGTTCAAAGTCATTTGACCATGACATCTATTCTTTAATATTGCCTCTCTTGTCAATAAATCTCGTGTTTTGTGTAAATAATCACTGATTTTTTTTATTAGTTTGCCCTAAGTCACTCGTCGTGCGTTCGCATTCTAACTGACTGACTGGTTTATAAACGTAGAACTCTGCACCGATATGTGGCAGTTCGGGTTGCTACACTTCACTTAGCGCACAAAGCAAAAGTAGAAAGTAAAAAGAAATGCAAAACAGAGTTATAAGGCAAAAAGAATAGTAATATAGAGGAACCATATAGTGGATGCATCTATCCTATTGAGAACGAGGACTTTGAGCCATATCACCAATTGTCTCCACTGTCCCGAGGACGCCAACCAGGAAGTCTACTTTACCCTACGTGGCCTAAACTAACAACGATGGATTTCATTGACTGATGAAACCATGTTTTTTCTAGACCACCACTAACTCGCCTGTTGTCAAGGAAGGCGGTGGCTAGGCTAGGTATGCGTAACACATATCCTAACCATCTCAATCGATGCAACTTCACAGCCTCGTCTTCTGATATCCCCTCCTCATCTAGCACTCGATCGATGTTTCACCTTAATATTGCTCACCCTATTATACCACTTCACACGGGAGATAAAACAATAGGCACCTATGATCAAACACAGCTAGCCAGGCTTTTCATGTCTTCCACTTTCAATGGCTATGTCTGACAGCTAGTTATAAAGGAGGGTGGAGAGAACTGCTGAGCATTATACACATCCTTTGGTTGACAGCCAGCCGGATATATCACATCTACGCCAAAGGTGGCGTAAACTGGAATATACGAAACTTCCCCTCTGTATCCGTGGTGAGATTTCGTCAGAGATCAACCCGTTGGCGTTGGCTGATTCAACTCCCTAAATAAGTGAAGTGGTCAAGATGCATCACCAACCACTTCACTCTTTGCCTATCTTTAAGCGAGGAGTGAGTCAATGTAGTCCCGTCCTGTAGCATCATCTTACATTTACATTTAGCGGGAGTGAGTCGCGTGCCAAACATTCGAAGATTGCTGCTGAACTCAAGGTGTTCAGAAGACTCTGCTTAGTTTTTATTAGAGTCTTCACCTAGGGAGGGAGTACTATATCATGTGCATATTCTAAGTCAACGAGATTATTCCCTGATGGCAACAAGTCAATCAATCCCTGAATGGTTCGCATTCTATGGATCGTAATACTTTAACGCTTTACCGATGATGAATAAAGAAGATACGTTAAAGTAAGTGTTATAACTCCGTTGCCAATTTTTATGTAACTGAGCTACACTGAATAAACCTTTTGCTACTTAGTTATGTCTCCGCCTATTAATTAGCCTATAACGGTAATGAACTCGACTAGTACGCTAATACGTCGATTTGTCCGTTGTACCTTCCAATTCACTGGGCTACAGAAATATCAAAAGACAAAAGCTGTCATGTGACCGAAAGATATTGTTTAATGTACTATACTACAATAATAATAATTTGATTTATTCGAAAACAGTACTTGTGATACATAATGGAATTCTCAGCATTTTACTACATACAGTATTGCATCCAGTTAGTACATTAACAATAAAGAAAATTCTACATAGATTAAGGAAATCTCAGTTCATTATAACAACAACATACTGGCATGTCGGTAGCAAAGCCAAAAATTGAACAGAGTGTTTGAAGGTGTTAGAAAAGTAGATACTACTAGGATATTTACTGGCGTAAGCGGTAACAAAACGGTCGAGATATACGAATAGGTATCACGCCTAATGCTTTCTTTATCTCACAGAACACAAGCCAAGTAGGGTATGGTTGGGTTTTTATACTTGCTAGTGCGAGCATATAGTTTTCTACCTAGGCTTCTGACTCTGACTGATGAGATACAAGGGTAGAGTTGTGAATGAAGAGGGTGGTGTGAGTTAGATAGATAGAATGGATTTAGTCCATTTTTCACATGAGTCCAAGGGCCTGTCGACCAGAATATTAACAAGCTGGTTAAGTGGTACGTTTCTTGCCCAACTGACAACCTTTAACATCCTATGTAATAAGGCATAGTCTTTCTTCAGTAGCCCAGGAAAAACTAAGGGGGAACAATAGAGCATAATAGGCAGGATGCAAGAGTTAACGAATCGTAGGAGTAAGCGTTGGGTCGGGGTATTCCAGAGTGTCTTAACTTCTTTATGTAGAAGGTAAGACGGAATATTTTCTTAGAAATCATCAAGATATGAGAAGACCAGGAAAGATCAGCAGATCTAGGATGACGTCTAGGTATTTAATTTTCGACTTGGTTTCTATTTCAGTGCCATCTATGTTGCACACCACGTGAGTGCTAACCACCAGTTTGTTTAGGTCAGTCAGATTTATGCCTACCGGTGAAATTGACTGTTTGGCATTTAGAAGGGATTTAAGGTTAGACCGTTCTCCTTTCATGCTCTGGGTCCTATCAGCGAGATATCTCATGAATATGTTTTATAGTTTTCTTGATTCATTTAGTTATGTACTCGTCGAGTAGTTAATAGTCCTGACGCGGAAAGAGGGAACCAGGGAAGAGGGACCACCTCGTTCAAGATGATACTTGTATTTTCCAAACAAGGAAAATAATGACTGTCTCACAAGTGTGACAGTGAAGGGTACGTAGTATGCGGAATGTGTGAACAAGTATACAATACAAAAGTATGCATGAAAATGACCAATATACATGAACCAATAGATAGACAATCTTACCATAATTGGCTGTAATCTCATGTGACAACAATGTCATACATTGTTTATTTAGTTAATGGACAGACAAAAGCATATTGTCAGTTATAATGGAATATCGATCCATATACACATAGCAAAATATAACAGACTGTCAAAAACAAAACACACATCATGTGACAACATATCACATTTCTTGTTTTTTCTGTTCATTTCATTCACAGGATTATTTAACATCTCAAGGAATATCGATACCAAGATTTATTGAACAATGTTTATCAACATTTATCAGTTCAACAATTATCTATCCATCATTAGTGCTGAGTGAAAATTCCCTGGTTTGTACAAGTTGTGGAGAACACGTGCTGAGTGAATTAGCTTACAAATATCGTGTATCTATATGTGCAGACCAGTTGCCAGATGAAGTGGTCCTAAAACCAAATTGTTATTACGGTCGATATTGTCGTTATCAAAGTAATAATTATCATCATGCTAGACGTTTTAATCATATATGTGAAAGATCATTTTAATGATCATTTCTTTTTGTGGTACGGTACTGCCCCCCCCTCCTCTCTGTTGTGCTGTTGCATGTCACCACTCCTCTATCTCTACTTCCATCGATTGATCACTTTTTCTGTGTGTGTGTGTGTGTGTATGTTCTCTACAGGACACTGCCAGCTTTCAAACAAGCCACATACATATATATTGTGTATTTTACCAAAGTAGGATTTAGTGAATTTATCTTACAATTTCGGTAGAAGTGTTCCCCTTCAGCTGCCGAATATATATTCTACATTAATACATAGAAGCACATTGAGAATTGATGGTCACCTCGAATCTTACTTGTTAATTAATTGTCATGAAAATCTTTCTTTTGTTAGTATTATTATGACGATTCAGTGTGGTATTTGTGACATTTTCAAGTTCTCCCTCCCTCTTTCTCTCACTGTCTGTCTCTCTGTGATAATGAAAGAATATTGAATTTAGTGTGGTAGGGATTTAGCCGCCAACATTGTGTTAAGCATTACTCTGTTCTGAAGAACAAGATCCTGCAGTTGACTTTCTCTATGCGTTATTATCAGTTCATCTGCTCCTGTGGAACAGCCTATTTATTACCTTTAGAATTATGTCTACTATATAAGATGTAACATAATCAACCCTTAATTATCTGTATTCTTGAAGCTTTGGTCATGTAGAAATAAAAGAAAAAAACTAGAGAGTTTTGTATCCAGCAGAAAAAGTATGTTCGACCGACCACCCACCCCGTCCTCCCCCTGTCATGGTCCTCAGTCCATCTGTGTTAAATCATTACATAATTCCTATTTCTACTTGGGGTACTCATATTTCAATTTGTATATACATCCTTCCCTTTTTTTTATTATTTCGATTGCTATTATATAATTATTATTTTCATTTTGAACAAGTCCCAGAATTTATTTCACTTGTGTATTAGCCTTTTCGGTAATTATATATGTAATTAATTCAATATTATCATTCACATGTCGTGTTATCATAATTTCTCACCTTTTTGTGTACTGCATAATGCTTTTAATTGCCCACTAATCTTAAGATTTCCACATTTCATTCATGAATTATTTTTTGTCACAAATCACACTTATAATTGAGAGAAAAACCATACATATATTACAGTTGTGTAAAGCCTAATGATAAATTTGTTACAAAATTGAATCACACGTGCTTTGAACTTCTATATTTCCATCCTAAGAAAGATTTTCGAGAAATCTATTACAATGTTAATTATTTTCAAAAATTATTATCTATCTACCTGTCCTGTCTTGCACGCTAGATTCATCATTGTAGTGTTTATTCACTTGCCAATCATATATATATATATATCCTAAAGTGCTTCTTGTACTGAAGAGTTCTGCCGAAATTGAAAGGATTCATTCAATCCTTACTCTACTAACAATATCTGTTGCTTGTATCAGGGAATTGAATGTTTCTAATTTTTGATAAATACATGATCATTAGCTTTGCATTTATTTGATTTCATCAGCGCTGTAACCTCCCCCCCTATTTGATTTGATTCAATCACAGAGAGAGAAAGAGATGGGGAGAATGACAATAATTTTTGTTTTCCTTAGATGTGTACATATGTCTATCTATTTTAGATTCTCTTATGATGATTACAAAGAAAAAAACGATCAGAGAGACCTGATGAAAATATTTCACTTATTATTATTATTTCTTCTAAATAAATACATTTTTTTTCTCTCTGTGTCGTGTATGTTCTTTGTTATTCCATTGTTTTCCTTCGCTTTAACATTTCGCATCTGCCTATTTAGATGAATATGACCTTGGTTAAGGGCGAAGAAAAAGCCAATAGATTTTATTGTCAAACTGTGTAGCTATTTAGTGATTGGATAATCTTTTTCAAGGTCTTGGTCACATGCAGTCAATCACATGATCTAGTATTTTTTTTAAAGGAGTATTGTTGTCGTTGTTGTTATTTTTTATTATTATCGCTTTCTAGGTCAGAAATCTAGGACAAAAATCAATATTAGCATAAAGACTAGGCAAGATAGGAAGGTAGGTAGGTATCGATTTCTTTTTTTTCAAACTAAAAGGACAGGATGTATGAATGACCTTGATCATTATAATTGTATGTATGTATGTATGTTTTAGTACTATGATTTAATTAATCTACATATACCTAGATCATTATGCTATTTTAAACAACCGGTAAACGAATGGTAAAAAAAAATCGAAACATTGCTATCAGATATCCACTCGATTGGGTTTTTTAAATATACTTTAACAACGCCGCTTTTTATAAGATATTTGTTTGGAGGATGGCTTCAGAGTTGTTCTTGCCAGTCTGTGCCAATAAACCTTGCTTTATGGTCATTTATCTAGACTAAAGGTTTCAAAGTTTAACATATAAAATTGCATTTTCAGAACTTTGTACTGCTGTATGCGTAGCCATATTGCATCAGATATGCCTAGGTTTTTTTTACTGCTGTGTCCAGCTAATGCTTATTCAAAACTTGGGGTATTTAGGCTACTGTGGTATGATCGCTCAGTCTAATGTTGTTTAGTTATGTTGAGTTTACTTGTGTCCATATTTGACCGAGAAGTAATTTGGAAACTACTTCAATACTGCGGTGTACCCCAAGTCTTTATCAACCTCATTCATCAGCTGACTATATTATATTGCCACATGTCAGGTGCTACACAACAGGAAACTCAGTGAGGCGTTGGAAGCGCATACAGGAGTAAGACAAGGCTGTCTGTCTATTATTACCGATGATATTCTTAATTGTGGTGGACTGGATTATGCGTCATATAGAAATATGCTGGATCACCGATTAGAAGACTCTAGGAGATCTGGATTTCACGCGTGGATGATTTATGCTTAATGTCACTCACACAAACTCGAAGACTTACAGGCGAAAACCAACAAACTGGCTGAAGAAGCAGGTAGTGTGGACTGGACTCCAAGTGAAGAGAAGTTGGAGTTGGTGAAGATAACCATCCTACAAACAGCACCGTCAGCGGGAGAAATTTAACAGAGGTTGCCTCCTTCACTTATCTAGGAAGCGTCGTTTCAACTACAGGTAGTCGGAACGGATGCAGATGTCAAAACCAGTCATAATCGGAAAGGTAAGATACGCCTTCATCAACCTGAAACCAGTTTGGAAATCTTCTGCACTCCGCAGCATAAAGAACAAAGTTCACATTTGCAGTACAACAAGTTCGTTTCTCCATAAGGGTTAGAAACCTACACTGTGTGTCAAGAAAAGGATTTGCAACAGACTTTCATCAACAGTTTCCCACTTCGCTGGCTGGCTCCATACTGAAGATCAAATGGCCAACCGACTAACCAGAAAGAATTAGCAACAAGAAACTCTGGCTGGCGGCGAACCAACTAAGAGCCGATCGCTCAAAAAAATATGTAAGAGAATATGGAGATGGATGGATTGGGCATGCGCTAAGGAGACCGTCGAATGACATCGCGCTCAATGAAGGCCATCGCTCAAGTGGAATCCAAAAGGGAAGCGATGAGTGGTTCATTGGTGTGAGGGTGACATGGAGAAGATGAGAGATTATGTGGTCAATAGTGGACCCAGCTGAAGAGGAGAGTGTAGATGTGGTTTGGAAGCCCAATGTCCCACTCAAAACTCAAAGGAATAAGAATAATAATCCTTGATGATTGTTTTGCGATAATAATTGTCCTAAAGCAACATATATTGTAACCACAGAACACACGACTAATAATAATCTCCTTTATTCCAAGAAAAGTGCTTATAATACAGCATGTGTTTTCAGCATTTGTCACCATATACGGCAACGGAATTACGTATTGGCAACTCCATGTACAGATAAAAGCACAATACGTCTACAGTACTCTAGAATCATAATTCGCAGATGTCTTCTGCATTGTGCTACTTTGACTCCCATTTATGATTCCAGTGTTTATTTCTTCTCTTCGACATTAAATCCATCTCTTCGATATTCTTGCAGACGACATACAAATTCAAATCTGCATCTACACACTACTAAGACATCTTGTCAGCGGAACACGCCAAAGTATCACTTGTATGTGCGTTGTAAAACGTACAGATAGATTTAAGTAGTACGTAATTATCGATTCTGTAAACCAAATCATATATATATTTTCATTATTATTATTTTTATTCCCTTGGGTTTCAAGTTGAACATAGGGCTTCAGCAAAACATCTCCACTTTGTTTTACTCTCTTCCGTCCTCTTCATCTGGACCTACGATTGCCCATTATTCTCTCATCTCTTCGCCACACGATCTCCTCCATGTCACCCTAAGACGACCCACTTGTCACTTCCCATTGGGATTACACTCGAGGCCTTGGCGCGCAATGCCCAATCCATTGCGTTTTGATAAAACTTAGAATATTACGACGATTAAATTCCATCCTAATGACTCAATGTTCAACGCACGTGCCTCCTAACCTGAAGATCGTGGTTGGACACTGTCGAAGAGTCTCAAACTAGGATGGAACAGCTTCATAGTTCTGCATCCTTTTGGTTTTCAGTGGTTCTATAATTAGTATCAATCAATGATCAAAGTTCGTGGAATCCCTACAGAGTACCTTTTGAAAATAAACAAGTGATGAGGGTGTGGGTAAAGAAAAGGCAATAAACAAACTGCGCTTGTGGAGCCAGTTATATTGGCCGTTGCTCTATGGACTTGATTTTTCGTGCTATCTCAAGAACATCTCCCAGCATGGCTAAGTAAAGGTGTAGTGAAAACCATCATGAACAGTTCGATATTGGAACATCTGGTGCAAACCGGTCACAAAGCCAGCGTAGATGAATCCTTCTCTATATTATATCGGGTGCCAAATAAATTACCGAAATCATCAAAGCACCGCAGGCTCCAAACAGCAGAGGCTATTGCGATTCGCCTCAAAAACAACCAGCACTGTGTGTCCAAAAGAAGCAAGTCCAGCCCCTACTATTTCCCTGGCCTTCAGTAGAAGCTATAAACTCATTAATTTGTAATATTCTCCTTCCTAATTCTTTTGACATAGCTTATTATATGTTGACGCTATTGAGCTTGTAATCTATCAATATCATTGATTCGATGTTATTTAAACATTAATGTTGTTCATAACACTAATTCATTCATTCACTATAATGTATGTATAAATGTAGAGCCTGATGATGAAGGGGTTATCGAAAAGAGTACTCTTTGTTCAGTATCCAGACTTAAATTCATCAATGAGTAAGGCAGGGAAACTAGGTAGATAACACCGTATTCATAATATATATGTATATTAAAAAAACGCTTGCAGAGAGGAAACTTTTCTTTTGATTAAGGCATCAAATAGGCTGTACATTCGTGTATTTATAGTAAGTGTGTGAGAGAGTTCCTGAATTATTTCCAGGCGAAGGTTAAATTAATAAAATCACAAAATGTAATAAACAGGAGAATCGGATACAGAATATAGAGTATTCGATTCCGTCAACCTAGAGGTGCTATGCTGATGTTTGGTTGTCAAGGGAATGCCGAGAAAATGCATTGCACTGATCAAGGCACTCTACTCGAACTGATATAGCCTCAGCTAGGTGAGAGCCTACTGCGAGTTGTCATCTGAAGTGATGACAACTAGTGGTGTCCGTCGGGAATGTCTGTAAGTGTCCCCATTTCTGTTTAATTTCATTATAGATGTACTAATGGGATTAACTGTAACTGACTTAAGCGACTCAGGGATTGATTGACTTGTTACAAGGAAATAATCTCGTTGACTTAAGATATGCAGATGATATAGTCCTCCCTCCTAGGTGGAGACACTGAGAAAACTAAGCAGAGTCTTCTAAACACCTTTAGTTGAGCAGCAATCTTGGAATGTTTGGCATGCAATTCACCCTCTCATGTCAAACGTTAGGTGATGCTACAGGACTGGACTACATTGACTCACTCCTAGCTTAAAGATAGGCAGACTTGAGGTGGTAGACCGTGTTGACCAATTCACTTATTAGACGAGTTCCATTAGCCAGTGCCAGCAGGTTGATCGATGACGAAATCTTAGTACGGATACAGAAGGCTCATTCGGCACTTACCTGCCAACCTACGCCATCTACGCGTAGATGTGATATCTGACTGGCTGTCGACCAAAGGACGTGTGTACTGCTCAGCAGTTCGCTCCATCCTCCCTTATACCTGACTGTGAGACATGGCCATTGAAAGTGGAAAATATGAAAAGGTTAGCTGTCTTTGATTATAGGTGCCTGCCTTCTATCTCTCGTGGTAGATGGTATAACAAGGTGAGCATTATATAGGTTATGCATCCGTCAAGTGCTAGGTAAGAAGGAAAAATCCATTGAGGAGGTTTTGAAGCAGCTGTATCGATTCAGATGGTTAGGGCATGTGTCATGCATGCCTAGTCTAGCCAGCGCCTACCTCGATAATGGGCAATGTTAGCTGGCTGAGTTAGGATGAATCAAGTTGGAAAAGAGAGATCTAGTGGTGGTGGTGTTCAAACGAAAGCATGGCTTCATTTGTCAATCAAATCCACAACAGTTAGTTTAAGCAAGCTACATAGTAAGGTGTAAACTTCCTGGTTGGGATCCTCAGGATGGTAAAAACCAATGAGGCTAGAGACTAGTAGTGGTGGTATGGCTGGAAATCGTTCTCGGTGATGGCGTATATGCATTGACTCTTTGTGATTTGTCAAATCCAGTGAAACTCTATTGTTCTTCCGTGTTACTGTTCTTCATCCCTCACTCACAATTGTGTGAAAGAAACAACCTCCTTTACCTACCTACCTGGGTAGCATCGTTTCAACTACAGGCGGACGGAATTGACGAGGATATCAAAGCCAGAATCGGAAAAGCAAGACTAGCTTTTGTTACTCT